GATGATTAAAGACACTGGCCCACTAGAAAGTATCATCTTGGAATCTTTACAGAGTAAGTCTACGGGAAAAAAAGCACTTGCCAGTGAAGGATATGGAAGGAGCTAACTCTATGACTAAACTAGAATTGCAACACTGAATGCAAAGGGATTTGAGATACAAAATCACCTTTGTCACAAACAGTTGAGCACCGAATACAGCCAAAGAACCTGAAGATGAAACATTCTGCACTGAGAAGTTATTCCCACCAACAAAATCAGTTACTGTATTAAAACATATATTGTAAAAACTATGAGATGGCTGCAGAGAAAGTGACCTCACCCCTACACATTTTCACATCATTATTTAGTCCAACTTTCCTGTTTGGACCTGAAACAAACTATTCTTTCGCTTGGAAGTCAGACTTTCAGCACTCAGAAAAGTGGTGCAGCTTTTCCTGGGATGATGGGTGCATACTGCAGTCCAGGTTCCAGAAACAAGTTCCTCAGCTCCGCCTAACACCCACTGAAGTGAGAGCACAAAGGTTATGCCACAAATGAAGTTTTACTGGCAGACCCTCCAGGGTGTCTAAATCTGATTTTGATTTGCTGGTCATGCGCTCCACAGGCATTCAGAAGCTGGAAGGCTTAAAATCTACTATCAGTCTATTTTATTACTGCTTGAAAAGTAATATCTCAGTATTTCACCAATGGCTCAGCGAAGGCTCGATTCTTCTGTGCGTGTCCATAGCAATGCTGCTCTCCATTAAGAACTGTGCAGATATGGACAGGGAAGAAGGATACACAGATTTCCTAAACTTGATTTGTTGGCAGTTCTCTGGCATCAAATGCTGGTATTAAAGATCTGCAGGCTTATTGCCTCAAAGGGATTCAAGGCCCTCACTCCCCTGTTATTCTGCATCCTGTAAAAAAGTCAAGGCTCAGCTCCATCAGCCAGACTGCTGATCACAAACCTGCTTTCCCTGCACCCCCTCAAGGCCCAGACTTTCACATTATGGGAAGTGAGTTATTTTATTTCACCAACAGTTAATTAACGTCAAATATGCACTAATGTTTTACTCTTACTGGCCTTGCTCATAAAGCATTTATTCAGTACTTCAGTTTATTTCGGAGCTGAACTCAGAAGGAAGGGCTCCAGGGTAGCCCCTTGCTGAGGACAAAGGTGCAGCTCAACTCTGCTGAGATTTCTTCCCATCTTTTTTCACCAGGTTAAGAAGAGCTAAGTAGACACAGTTCTTGTTCCCTCTTTAAAAAGCAGAGGCTTTTAACACAGAAAAACAAATGTATTTGCTTAGAGAGGAAAAGCAGCATGTGATCTGGCAAATGACAGTCTTACATACTCAGAACTTTAGGGCCACCCTGTGCATTTAGATCTGGTTTAGTTTCAATGCTCTCATCTCTGAATCCTTCAGAGAAGATGCTTCAATCCAGAGTGCTGATGCAAAAATCCCTGAACACCAAACCTCTGTCACAGAAATGCTGGCAGCTTTATCTGCAAGAAGCATTGGCAGATGCTGGAAGATTAATGGCACATCCAGGGCCCGTACTGCAAAGAGACCTCCAGACCACAGCACTTCCATGTTGGGCAGTAAAGTCACAATACGAATGTCCCAGCATTTATCTGGGAACTGTAATGAAACGCACATCTATCCATTAGTCAGGATCTCTTTTGGGTGTCACTGGATCTTGCTGTAGTAATATCCCTGACTGGGCACAGAAGAGGCACCTGAGAACAAAGCGGATTCCAAAATCCATGGAATCCATATGGATTAGCTAATACAGCTCAACTCTGCACTCTTTTAAAATACCTGTGGGATCAGGACCCCTTAATATGTTACAGCCATACTTAACACTAGAGAAAAATACTGCATTTTGGTTTGCATCTGAGCGTCAGCTCGATGTCAAAATGCATGGGGAGAAAAGGGAAGCAAGTTCTAATGCAACAATGTTTTTTTCCTTTATACATGCACACACCTCCCTGTGGAACAATGCCTTCTTGGTTAAAAAAGGAGAGGCAATATTTGAATTATGGTATCAGACCTCTTCAGCCTGGGGAAGCAATCTCTTTCATTAAGGCTGTTTTAATATTTCTTAATTGCATTCATATTATGGGTTCATTTACAAAACAGACATCATGTTTATTGAAATGACAGTGCTGTATAAGAAAGAATTCACTAACACTTTCCATTTTTACTCATCTCCAAAACAGTCATATCAGCCTATCTTTCACCTGCTCATACCCACCCTTTTCAAACAGCCTCTAAAATATTCCGTCCAATTGTTTCAAAGATACACATGCCTTGAGCCTACAAGCACCCGTGAGCAACCAGAAAACGCAGTTGTCATTTTCCCCACACTGTTTTCTTAGTTGCCAAATTGCTTTGACTGGGAAAAAAGTAACAAGTTGAGGGAGAGTGAATTAGCATAGCTGTCACTATTGCCTGTGACATCCTTTATGTACGACTTGCTAAAAACCCTTGGTGTTCAATTCCCTTCTATCAGAGAAGATCTTCCTAGCTCAAGAATGTGTCCTTCCTTTCAAGCTATAAACTTCTCTGGGACAGCGACCTCTTGTCCCCAGCTAGACTTAGCCACATCCAAGTGTCTCACCCCCCTGCACCCTTTTGCACAGACAAGTTCGCCTTTCAGACAGAACGGTTCTAAGGCAGAGGACTTGACGTGGTTGAATGCAGCACACGCTGGCCACCGGGACACGTAACGTGGGGTTTGAGCCTTTGGGCAACACAGGGAATTGCACCAGGGCTTCCCACATCCTTGGTGAGTGGGTAGAAAGACATCGATTTAGATTTTAATTGCTTCTGATTTTCTCTTAAAGAACCTAAATGAAAATCTCTTTGTTAAGAAAAACTTCAAAAGTTTTACATTTATCTTGAATCAAAAGCATTTTTTCTCCCCATTTTATTTCATTCAGCTCTCAAACCAAAAGACCCAAGTACACATGCAACCCTAAACCCAGTGTTGCACACTGATGGACACAGTCACCTCTTCATTTCCACTGCACTGAGCCCTCTCTACCAGTCTCCATTCATTCAGTCTACGGAAGAAGGAATTTGTAATAGATGTTGTCAGTGTTTCTAGAAAATAAAATCAAATTCTAGAATTACTGCACTCATTTGTGTTGTCTTAATTCTCACAAAGCAGGTGATCCTGGTAAATCACTTAAACGCAAACATCTGCTTATCCCCGTCCAAAAAGTGGATTAATAAAGCTGAAATTACACAGTTAATGGGGTGGACAGTCTACCACCGAAGTGTGATCATATTTCAGAACATTACTCCTAGCTCAATTCTAATGAAATGAAAGTAAGTTACTATTGCTATATCCTCAGTTATTTTAAGCCACTTATGATTTCATACAGAATAACAGCAAGGATACATTACCAAATTTTTGGAAGAAAAAATTAATTCAGTAAAGGAAGAAATATAGTCTTTTATGTGTAACCACTATACGTAATATTCTGCACTCCGACATAAAGCTGAAAAAGGCACACACATCTGTAATTATGGAAGAAAGTTCTAGCTGAAGCAGGAAAATTACATAACTGATAAGAAAGGTGTTATTGCTGTGTAATGCCTTTCAAGAAGTATGTCATCTAGTGTTTGTCTGAAAATGAGGAGAAAGCATGAATTATTAAAGAACTTGCCCATTTGTTACCAAAACTGCTTTGTCATGTAAATGAGCAGAGTTTTGAAATTTCCCAGAAGTATGTCCCAGAATTTGATCCAAGACCAATTCTCCATTGTTCACACAGGATTTGCATTAAAATTTCCAGAGTACTAAACTAGTACCTTGATTATCACAACAGTGTGTTCTTAAAAAAAATTTATAGCTCCCTTGAAACATGTGAATCACTATCCTCCCGTAACACTTCAAAATCATGGAGTTCACATTACAACAAACCCGTGACAGGGCAGCTAATAATAAATAAAGAGTAATTAACTCCAAAGGCTGCAACGCAGACTTAATAGTGAGTTTGACAGATGCATCTGAGATTTAAACTGGACGTCGGTCCCCAGTACAAAGCACCACACACCACAGTACAAACTTTGATTTTAGTAGCGTTCTTCAGGACCAGAATGGACTGAGGCAGCTGAGACCAGGCAGCAAGAATTAGCAGAGATGGAGAGAGGCCACATTCTGGGCTCTGAACAGTGCTGTTATTTTGTTGCAAATAATTTATACTAAATTCATCAAACTTAGGTATAATTTCAGTATGGAACAGCAGACAAGGATGAAGCAAGCTTCACTCTCTGAAACTAAACAGTTTAAAACCGAAACATATAAAGTAGCTGTAAACTCATTTAATTCAAAACTGGATCATTTAAGGAATATTTATTCATTCATTCTTAAAGAGTCCTCCTTTTTTATCTTCTCGTTTTAGGCACAAAGCTGACATCAACATCCACATGATGGAAATCACGAGCTCCAGCACATGCTTAATTTAAGGCTCATCCAACAGTTCCAAAATACTTCTGAGACATGCATTGCAGTGCCTCACCAAATGAGGTCTGCCGCAATTTATGACAAATCATAACAGTATATTAAAATAAACAATTCTTCAGAACCAGACAGAATGGTAACTCCCCATGGCCTAACCCCATCAGAATAATTCAAACTGTGTCTAACTCTTGAATAACTCAGAAGATTTGAAAAAGAACATTACTTAACCAAAATACTTCATGACTTAAGAAGTATCCAGTTCTGAAGGTTTATGGCAAATTGAGAGTTTGCAAATGTTAGACTTAAAAAAAAAAAAAAAATAATTAAGTGAAGACACATGTTTAATTATAGTTATTGGAAGAGGTAACTATAATTACTAGGGAAACTAATTTTGAGACAAAGCATTATGTGACATATATGAGAATGAAAGTAATGAGTATATATAAACTAGAAGAATATCTCAATCCTGAGAGCTAAACTTAAACATTTATTTAACCAAGGCAATCTACACATTCTTAGTTAGACTGTAACACAATACCCACCTTAGAACACAGGTGTAGAAACCACTGTCTTGCAACTCAACCGAGTGAAACCATATTGAATCTTCGTCCTTGCTCATCCTAACTTCAGAAAATATAATGGGTTCTTCTAAATCTCCTTTGTTTTTGTACCACATAAGCCTAAGACCTGTGCTTTGGGCCATGCTATAATTAGTTCTGATATAGCTGTAGAAAAGGGCACATTTCACTCGGACTGGTTCACCTGCCAAAGCCATGTATGTCTTGAGATCCACTGACCAGTCAATGCAACCATCAACTGAAAGCAAAACAATAATAAAGAAATATTAGATACAGAGATATTTTTTCAAGATAGTGAAAGGCAGCTTGTGAAATGCAATGCAGTTAATTAAAAGAACTTTAGTTTCATAGCAATGTGAAAAACCTGAAGCAGCTACGGCAATTAGAGTTTTAGACAATTTTAGTTACATAAATAGAGCACATTGGGTCTGCTCAATTCCATTTCTTTAGAATATCATTACTTTCATCCTGATTCTTTAATAAATAAATTCAGTGTTTTCACCTTAACTACTTGCCCCTGTAAAGCAGTTTTTAATTCTTTAATTCCTTGTTGGAGGAAAATGTACATTGGCATCTGACCCCAATCTTACCCCTTTAAACTTTTCCATCCACCTCTATTAATTACATTAAAAATAAAAACCAGATGTGACATTTATAATTTACTTTTTTTTTTTCTCTACAGCCTGCTCACACTGTAGATACATGTATTATATTCCACAGGATACAATTACAACTTGCTACCTAGGCAATCACGGTTAATACAGGAATTGTACAAATATGAAAAGGGATCTTTTGATGTTTTGTTCAGCAGAAACTTTTGAAAGAGTTTTTTTGATACTGTACTTTAAATATGAACATGTCAGTTTAACAAAAGATTACTTCTCCCTACAATTTTTTCTCCCATTATTTTAAATCAACTTTGTTACAGTATAATTCTAGAACATGTGAATGTATTAGCATGTAACTTCCCCCTCGCATATCAGAGACCTTTTAATTCAATCTTTTTTTATTGCTGGAAAAACCTTAAGCCTGAAAGTCAACTAAGAATATAATCAAAGAACAAGACTGCAAAGACAGCTCAACAATAGGCAAATACACTACCTAAAATTAATAGACAATGACATGAGCTACCTCAGATTCAACCCAGTAAGTTTCAGGTTGCCTCCTCTGCATTTATGGTATCAATTCTCAAATTTTAAGTGTTAAATGTTCTCATACACTCATCATTTCATATACAATAGCATTCACTCATTAAGTGATTTTTTTTTTGGTTGTTTACTTCCAAAGCAAATGTAGTGAGCCACAATTTCTACACGTGGTGGAATATCATACAATACCTTCACCCCAAGTGACTGGATCAGGCTACCTGCTCCTGCCACCCTCCCCACAGGTGGTTTTGTCAACTGACTTCTTACTTCAACAAAACAAGCCCCAAAACCAAAACATTCCCCTGAAGTTATGTACACACAGTTTCGGTTACTTTCAATTTTCATTTGCATTCTTATTTTGCTGAAAATATCCTGATGATTTAAATTAAAATTCATTGTTTCTTGCTTTTAATGGCTACTGTTAATGGCATAAAATGAAAGGCCGGTAGCAATTTACTGACATTCTTCACTGCTGCAGCATCATTTCTTCCTCCGTGTTCTCTCTCTCCCAGCTTAGTGCCACACAGAACACGACAAGTTTGGATAATCGTTACATGAAAATCATGTACTGAAGCATTTGTTCTCAGTGCATCCCCTCCTATAGACCTATAGAAGACTTATATCACCCCCTATAAACCTACAGAAGGTTTATAGCATTCTTCGCCACGACCAAAGCCGCACACTGTAACTCAACCATTCTCGTGCCAGGACCCTGTGAAACAGCATTCGCTCCTCTCTGCAATGGTTATACAGACTCAGGCAACCAGCCACAGAGCTGGAAAAAGAACCCAACTCTCCCAGTCCTACAAACCCATCCAATCCAATTTTACATCAAAGCCTGGTTCTGACATAATAAATTATTTTATCTACGTGGCTTTGAGGGCATCTACATCGAGCAGGTGTCAATGTACTCCATACAGAGCTTCCTCACAAAAGCTCTGTGCTTTGTTTAAGCCCTGCTCTTTAGGCTGGTGTGGGTTTACAGTTAAAAAGCAGTGCAGAGCTTACAGCTGCCTTCTCTCAGCAACGGATGTGAAAGGCAATGCTGAGCTCTCCACATGGCTCATCCTGGTTCTCCAGGACATGCAGGTATTCTCAAAGGCATCCCTCCTCCTGTGCTTCAGCAAAGTCACAAAAGTCTAAGTAGGGGTGTAAGCTGAAATGAATAGGGGTGGCCAGAACTGGAATTTAGATCCAAACCAATTCAGCTTATCTAATTAATTCTGTCAATTTTCTATCGATCTAATCCTGTCATGTCATCCAACATTTTTGGACCTATATAGTTCAGCAAAGTTAAACCACAGTAAAGAATGAAATGACATTCAGACACACATGGAGAGCCTGTGGGTCAAGCAGAAAGGTGCCAGTTTGTCATTTCTTTCACAGAGCAGAGTCACTATGAGGAAGACTATACTGACCCGGTATGGAAACCCAGCTTTGGAAGACAAAAATGCCTCTGCTTCCAATAAAACTTCTCCCACATCCACACCAAACAACTTGTCAAAGCACAGCTCAGATGAACACTAAGCATCCTTCAGTGTCATGCAATCTACCTCATCTTTCACTTGAAAATTTTCCTCTCGCTTCTAGTGTGCACTTCTCTACTACTATATTTTCAAAATTCCAACTGCTTGAGTACATAAAACACAGTGGAATAGACAAAAGATAGTTCAATGGTAATGTGCAGCTGGTCATTAGAGTGGCTAAATCCTATGTCCAGCTATCCCCAGAGAGAGCGAGCCATGGGGCCGGTGCAGCGCTGACCATTGCCAGCGTGCCAGTGGAGACACAGGGCACAGCGCCCTGATCCCAGCCCCTGCAGCTCCAAAGGAGAGAAGAAAGAAAAGGAGATTTACACCAGAGACCTTTTTCCCACTAACAGCATCCGGATGGAAGAATTTCAGCAGCCAGCAGCAAGGCTGACCCCAGCACGGCGAGCGCAGCAGAGGGGGAAGGTGCAGGCAGGCTGCCTGCCCATCACCCCTGCCCGCGCCAGGCTCCCCCGCAACAGCTCGCTCCCCGCAGCGTGCCAGGAGGTGATAATTACAGAGAGGAGAGCACACAGGGAATGGAGTAACCATTCATTATAGGGTTGATGACATCTGCGGAGGGGAGAAGTCTCACAGAGCACCTTGCCTAAATCTTAATTATTGAAGAACGACTAATCAAACAGGAGACGACTTCTTCCCCTTGCTCTTTTTCTCATGTTAAATACACAGTCAAGAATGTTTCCTCTTATGAAGCTGTAGAGGCTAAAATCTAGGTCAGGCTCCCCGCGCTCACGTGGAAGCTGGAGTTTTCCCTCTTGCCACGCTGTCAGTCACTGGAGCGTGAGCACAGTTAGATTCATTTGGAGTATTCTCCAAGCTGTCATTACAAATGACTGGAGCTGCTTAGGTGGAGTTTAGCACTCCATTATCCAGAACAAAGTTTGCTGTCATCTTTGTTGGGCTGGTTCTTAATACATAGTACAATCAGCGTGGTAAGAAGACAAAAACAACGTCATTAGAGAGAGGCACTTACTACACGATAAATGCATACACATCTTTTCTTTGCTGATCCTTACTAAGTGCCTGATTTAAAGCCCATTCTAATTAAATCTTTCCTATTATTGGTATTTTAGACACTTTCAATAAAGACAATTATTTGAAATATTTTCTAAAATTTGGAGCACTGAGAGGATACGGAAAACATTCTCCTGTGTTTAGCCCAGCTTCCTGAGGAAAAAAGGTTTGCCCGTCTGTCAGTCCTCCCACTCCATTAGCATAACTTCTGACTCACCTGACTAAATTCAATCCTATTTCATAGAACATGAAAGTGTTGAGGTACATGAGAGCCCTGCATGGCTGCGGAGGAGTCCCGACCTGCCCCCATGGGCAAGGAAACGCAGCACCAGTTAATGACGATGGGGACCCACTGGGCCCATCCCAGTTATCTATCCAGGCTAATGCAACCCGAGGAGACAGGGAATTGAAAAAGAAAGCTTCAAAATTATTAAGCAAATTACAGATTAAGTTGGCTGACATTACGTTACTGTACTTTTATGTTAGCAGTCACCCGAAGTGTGTACTGCATCTCCTTCCCCAACATTTCCTGGTAATTTCCCATTATCCTTATTTTAAATAAATCTAGTTGTCTAGGGAGTCTAGATGCATTTTAACATGAACCATAATAATTTATGAGCAATTATAGAAGAGCATGTACATAGTCTCTGAGTAATTTGTCTTTCTGCTTGCTGTCATATAAATTATTTTTTGCATTGCGAATCTGCCTGTAATAATTTTTGTAGGGATCTGTCACCTACAGCAATTTATATCATGGCATTGTTAAACACATTTGCCTACCTTGTTACCTGAAAAATCTCATTTTAAATTGAAATCATCTACAAATAAATAATTAAAAAAATAATATACTAGCTAATATATTAAATTTATCGCTTCACAAAGCAAGCAATGCCTCTGACTGTAAATACATAGTGAGAAAAAAACCCATTCCTCTGATACAACAGTTACATTTTATTTATGTATTAGCCCTGGAACAGCAGAGTCCAGAAACTGATATCCATCATGGTCGGGGTTTGCAGACGCGTAGCAACGATAGATGTACTTCGTTAAGGAAGTCCAAAAAAGGATGCAAATTTTTTAGACTCTTAAAGGGAAGAAATCAGTTACAGACCAGGAATTTTGGCAACTTGGTATTTTCAGATCTTGATTCTGCAGAGAAGGGAACACACCCTACACCTGAGCAAACACAGCAATGCCTTTAACAGCTCTGGCTGGACGTGATCTTCACCAAGGGCCAGGCTGTTAGATCAGGCTCACCATACACAATTGGTTTCACCTCTCTGGCTTTCCGGCTGCCCCGTGCTAATTCTGCCACAGTGCTCACAGACCCCTGCCAGCATCTCATCACAGCCCGGTGCTGCCATATGAGACCTGTCTGTCAGCTCAGCCCAGCGCGTGGTCCCCTGCCACCCTTCCTCCTCCCTCTTCCCAGAGCCCTTCCCGGCTCCTCATGTCATGAGCCGAGTCAGGGAGCTGAGCCACCTGAAAACTGACAGCAACCACCACCTCACCCTTACCTGCGATTC